GAACAGCCATGTTCATTCATGTGGTGTTTATGAATAATAAATACTTTTTCTGCTAACTGGGCAGCACATGACCGAAAATCTAAATGCAACACATTACATTACACATACATAATAGTCGTTGTAAAATGCAACATTAACTACTATTTAAAGACAGACATGGAAAAAAAAAATACTCAAGAGAGTGTCTCCTCTCCTGGAGTTTTATTTTTGAAACTATCCGATGTCATGATAATAATACTCCTATGATATGATGTTGTATAGCGCTACCAATTTGATAATATTATCATGATTGTACGCCCGTAAAAATATGACCAGAAGAAGAAGAAGAAGAAGAAGAGTATAGTAGCCTTCCACTTCCTCATCAATTATTTTATTTCATTATTTTAAATAAAATTTTAGATAAGTGAACTCTGATTCATAATAATACTTTTTGTATCATTTTTATTTTTATTTTGGCAACAAGAATTTTTCCTCAGTTAGCACTTATATAAATTAACAGGTAAAGCCTAAACTAATGATGGTACGTACTTTTAGAACTGACATGAGCAGAAGAAGTTGATAACACCACCAAACCTAAACAAAATGATTTGTGATAAGGTGTTTTTAGTGTTTGTCATTTACTTGGGTGGGCTGGCCTGGCCTGGTCTGGCCGGTTACTATTTTAACCTTTTAAATTTATTATTGCATAAAGGAACGAATCTATAAACTACTCTTAAACATAATTAGTACGAATCCCGTGCGATTTACGGGTAAGAAATATTCATTAATATTTAAAAATTACGAATATTCATTAAATAATATTTATAAATTAAAAATATATTAAACCAATATGCAATACAACTTACCTATATTAATTTGTTGAAAATATTATATAAAATTTAAATTGTGTAAAATTACACAAAACATATTTATTTAAAATTAGTACACGACCTGCACAATTCAAGTAACTGATAATAAGTTTCACTAGTATTCGACCCTGTGCATTTGCACAGATGTAAATAAAATATTGTGAGTTATTTGTATGCATATAATGATTAATTATTTTTTCACTTTTTTTTGCAGGCCAAATTTACAATTAAAGGAATTTGAATATTTTTTATTAAACTGCGTTCATCTGATTGGATGTAATGTATATTTTGTAAGTCTTTTTTTGTGAATTATTTATTATTTATTTAGGAATTTTAAATACATTTTTTATTTAAAAATAATAATTTAAATGTAACTACAATAATAACATCTACTGACATTATACGGTCAATTCATTATATTGTCAACTGTTATTGTCAAAAGTTTAAAATTATTTTTTTGTAATTTTGAAGTGATGAGTGTTGAATATTTAATAATTAAATGAAAGATTAAATACAACAAAAGTAACGGTTTTTGGAGGGAAAATGTTAAATTGCCACATAGGTAAAATTAAATAGGTTTTATTAAATGCTATTAGCTAGTAATTATATATATATAGATTATATTATTTCAAAAATAGATGTCATTTCACAATTTTTATTCAAAATTTTGATTTGACTATAATGTGATTTAAGTAAAAATAAACCTTTATACACACACACACACACACACACACTAAATAATTTGGTATGTTCCACGTACATTTACAAAGAAGATTCGACCATAGCATTATCTAGATTTTTCTTTCAGTAATATCGAATAAAATGCTTGGCAATATGGGAAAAAAATATTGAGATACCATTTATTACCATAAGCGGTTATATTGGATCAATATATAGTATGCCAAATAATTTAATTTCACACATTATCGATAAAATACAAAAAATGATATTCAGTTTAACCACAAAATTAATTGTCCAACGTGCAAAGACTCATGTTTATTATAGATAAAAAATAAAAAAGACCCAAAAATAGTTACTAAAAATAATTAAATACAAACTGCCACTAACGCAATTATTTTAGAATTTAAAAGAAATTATAATAGAATAAATCGACCGAACTTGCACGATCTACGTAATTAAGGTATCTTAAAAATTTTAAATTTTATTGTCTAATTATTTCCTTAATTATCTACGATTTGAGAAATTAAATACACAAAAAAAATGAATAACATTTATTAAATAATATATAAATAAAAATTATCATTAACACATTTTTTTAGAACATTTTTGCAAACTGCATAATTAATTACTGTTGTCGATATTTTCATAATTGTAGTAATTATTCACAGATTAAATAAATCAATCGCATTTACACAATTTGCTTAATTAATGTAGATTGAAAATGTATTTCACAAAAGAATGACACGAAAAATATAAAACACTTACTAAATAATAAATTTTACAATTTAGCTGAAATTTTTTTTACCAAGACACATAATTTCTATTGAAGACGTAATTTTCATATTTGGGTAAATCAACCAATGAACATTACGTGAATAATTAAGGTATCTTAAAAATGATTATTTGAAATACACTATAAATTGTTAAATTAATTTGAGTAATTAAGGTATTTTAAAAATAAATATTTATAGGGGAAATTCCATTGTAGGGCATGATTTTTGGGTATTGTGTCATAATAGATCTACATTTTTAACTTTTTCAATTGAGGGTTTCACTTTTAACTTATTCTCAATATAAGACTTTTTTTTTACGTTATACTTTTCAATTTAAGACTTCATCACTTTGTATTTTGACATAATTATGTAAACAACAATATTTTAAAGAAAAATATTTTTAAGCATTTATAATAAAAAATATTAAATATCTTAATAAAATTATATAATAAGATAATTATTTTATAATTTATATTTATCAAAAGCTTAATGAAATTTATTTTAAAAGTTTAATAAATAAATTTTAACTTAAGTTTAATCTAAATATGAGAATAACATTAAAAAATAAATTAGTTAGAAAAACAAATTAAAGTAATTTTACTAAAGATATTTATAGTTATTTAAAATATAAATTTTAAATTATAGTATTTTAGTTTATATATTTATGTAAAAATATAAATTTTGTTGGGATGCCAAAAATTATATATTGAAAAAATCATGATGGGATGCCAAGTTGACAACTCAAAATCTATACTTATATTAAAAGCCATACTATTTACCAAAAATAGTAACAAAAAAAGTCAACTCACATTTAATGCATGCTTTATTTAGAAATTTTTTACTATATGCATTAATTGCTTGCATATATACATTTCTTATTCAAATATGATCAAAAAGATTCTTTCCTTAAATAAATTTATTAAATTCTGCAATGATTTTACTGGTATATATTATAATTCATATTTGTCAATAGTATTTTTTAATTTTTATTTGAGTATATAAAAAAATATTTTTTTAAATTAATATTTTATTTATCATTTAAGAGATAATGATCACATCACTAAATGATATTACTGATGGCTAGATAATAAATTAAAATACATTAATTATTCTTTAAAATTTTGGCATGTTATTTATTTGTATCTATATTTATTATATAAGGTATCCTATTTGCCAAATTTAGTAAATTGAAAAGGCAACGTAATTAATGCATTACTATTTCTATCCAGAATTTTATTTAATTATTTTATTTATTTGTCTTATAGCCCATAAAATCAGTTTAAGAAAAAAAAAATCCCATAACATCTGACAAGTAAAAAAAAGACGTAAAATCTTTACTAAAATAAAAAAACTTTATTTATTTGTCTTATTTCATATTAACATCGATTTTGTCAAAATAAATCCCATAAAATCAGTGAAGTCAAAATTTGTACGTAAAGTCTATCTATCCAAAAAAAAAGTCAGATTCAAAATTCCTTATCTAATTCCTTCTTTTTCTTATCTAATTCCTTCTTTTCCTTATATAATTCCTTTTTATTATCTAATTGTATGAAAATCTGTTCTGATTTTGTTCAATCCTCTAATTGTATTTGTATTATATTCCATAAAATCGGTTTAACAAAAAAAATCCCATAACATCCGATAAGTAAAAAAACAAAGTACGTAAAATCTTTACTAAAATAAAAAGGCTTTATTTATTATCTAATTTATTATCTAATTGTATAGAAATCTGTTCTGATTTTATGGTACGTACTACAAATTGTGCACCCGTGTCAGGAGCTACTTAACGGGCAAACTCTGTGGAAACGACTCATTTAGTGCTTATGTCCCGTGCACCACGTGCATCGCACGGGCTCTGTACTAATAAATGACCATAAAATTGTGCACCCTGTGCATCACCCGTGTTCACATTTTGGCTTATTACAGGTCACGTACTATATATATCCCGTACATTTTTTTTATTCATTTCTATAATTATAAGAATGGACAAATGACCTTAAAATTGTGCACCTCGTGCATCGCACGGGCTCTGTACTAGTGTATTTTTAAGGGAATATGAAATCTTCCTAAACAAATCAAGAAATTTTATGCAATTAATTCGTGCTAGTCTAAAAGGTTACCGAGTTTTATTCAAGAGTATTTGGCAGGTAACAGAGTATATTTATTCATGAAATCTTGAAATTGTATTCTGTATTTTAAAATTGAAATTAATGATTCAATGGCGGGATTATTGAAAAATTTTGAAAAAAAATACTAAGATTAATAAGTTTTAAATTTTTTGGCGGGATTTTAGTTTCTATTTCATTTAAATGTCAAACATTTTTATATGTATATAGATGCAGCTTATAAGGACAAATATGCAAATATATCATCCTTAATACGTAGTACTATTCAAATGGGGCTTTGTATATTGTTGAATCCTAAGCAGATTAAAATTAATAATAACATAATGTCCTGACTATTGAAGGGGTTGAAAGTTTAAAGGGCTTATATATATATACGATCAGATAACAACCAACCATGTGAAGAAAGGGCAGTGTGCAACATAATTAATAATTACATTAGCAATCAGTCTTACGCAAATCAATAGTATTATTGTGGTGTCTAAATTTCGATTAGATTCTGTTGTTTAAGAAACTTAGTAGAATAATGGATGTAGATGATTAATAGCTCATTTCGTTGAAAATTATATAATAATGATTGATTTTGTTATTTAGCTGATCAATTATTTGCTTAATTTCTTGAGATTGTACAGTGACCACTAATGACTATAATCAAAATTTAGTCATAACCCAAAATGAATAAATAAATAAATAAATAAAAATCCCATTGATTCTGACTGAGGGTATCCTACTACAAGTACACGACTAGAATAGAATAGATTTATTCAAATCCCAAAGGATAGTGACCAACTACACTACACTACACTGACTGGGGTCTTTCCTGCAATGCTTTTCTTCATGTGAGGTGAGGTGGGGGGCCAAATTGCATTAAAATTTGGTCTCGGAATATTTCAACCTTCAGGTGACCGACGACTTCGTTTCATCCGACGGTACAAAAACACGGTGTCTCTGTTGATCAAACGGTCAACAAATCTTACCAGAAAAACAGAGTTGTTGCTGCTGTTAGAACAAATATTTATTTCGTACCAACAAAAGGTAACTCAGTTGTTCAAGCTCTGTTGACTTGACTGTGTGTGCCCTTACGCGCGCGCACAAACACTTACACATAGAATAGAATATATATAGTATACAGAAGATGTAAAAGATCAGAATCCTTTTCACATTCACACCATTAGTTTTCCCATTTTTCATTTTCTCTCTGTTCTGAATCAAGAAAATTTGGACATGAGCACGACCAAGAAGAAAAAGCACGGCGATGAGTTCGTCGCTGTCCAGATTTTACAGGGTTTTGTCTCCCTCCGCCGCTACCGCCAC